GTAAAGGAATCGCCGTTATAGGGCTAATAACAAGTTTGTTCTGGTAACGCTCGGGAGTTAGTTGGGAAAATCTTGCAGACTTTATTTATTTACATGTTTATTTACCTATTTATGCAATCTGCGATAGGGTAAAGTTGAGTACGCCCTAAGGCTTCACCGTATCTCCCACAGTGGCATTAGCAGTTGCAAATTTTCGACGGTTTCCGTGATAGTGTTATACCTTTTGAGTCAGTTCGCTTGAATAAAATAACAGCCAAGTTTCCTGGGCGAGATACAGCTTAAAAGAAGGTTCGACGAAAAGCTGAAGTTCAAGCAAGAGGGTATATACCTTCTCAGGCTCTAGTCTCTGGCTCTAGTCGTTAGCAGGAGAACGAGGGGCCGCGTTTGACGTCTTCGCCGCTCAAAGATGAAAAGCAAAGTCCGTTGAAATCAGAACAACGAGGGAAGAGGTGATCCAACGTGATTTTTTGGATAATAAGTGGAGGTGTCCTGTTTTTTGGGAAAGCTTAGAAAATGGAAAAGTGGTAAAATCTAGAGAAATTCAAAAACAGCCCAGTTTCGCTGCCTCATCTTCGGAAACGGCCTTCGCCGCTCCGAATAACGGATATATGGAGGAAGGTAGGCTACAGGTAGAACCGTGGCCCACTACAGAACAGTGAAGCGAAAAAAGTCCAGAAAAAACTGCTCGGCGATAGATTTTCAATAGGTGATGTCCCCTAATAAGCTCTTCATCGAGTAGGAACAGGATAGTTCGAATTCTTCAGGGAACGCTTCTGATAAGAGCCTCTGTTCAGGCTCGATGGCGACGCCAATCCTCGATGACTTCGTCTTGCGGTTGCGCATCTCCAGCAGCAGCACCCGTCTGTCAGTGCCAGCAAGCTGCCGCACAACCGTCCTGTCAGTGCAGTGCCCCACAGCAGGCGCCAAGCAGCTCGTGTCCATGTGCAGTTCAAGCGCAGGTAATTTTCCACGAATTTAAGATTCCGTTCCTCATTCGTACTTGGATATTTGCCAGAAAAGTTTATTTTCTCACGGAGTAAGCTGAGTCTGCAATTAACTATTATATCTTCCGCTCAGGCCGACCAGTGCATGCCATCGTGCCAATCCACCTGTCAGAATAGCTGCCAGCCCCCCGGTCAGTGTCAGCAGAGCTGCTCGAACTCCTGCCAAGCAGCATGTCAACCAATACAACAGGTAGGGCGAACTTCTCGACAGTATATACACTGCGTTTCATAATTATAGGTCCACCCTAAATTTTTGCTACCCCAAAGTTGCTGTGCATTTTTTGGAAATGCTGCTATCACCGTTAGATTCCTCATCACGGAAAACCTTCATAGTGTTTTTCTGACAAAGTTCCCCCTCAAGTAACCCAATTAACTTTTTAGAACGAATTTTCACCGTTTCATGAATATCGGGCCACTCAAAAGTTTCCATTTCTCATGATCCGTGAAGGGAATCAGGGAAGCGGGGATATATGTGAGCTCAGTCGACATCGAGTTTACCGTACCTCGTGTTACTCGCCTCTCTTCCCAGTAACAAGCTCAAGCCAGAGCACTTACTGAAGTGGGATGGCAAAGGAGCAAAATTTCCTCCCAAGCCGGCCGGCTCCTACGACCTAAGCAACTAAGTGCGAAATCCTGGTCAGTGCGGGGAGAAGAGTAGCTTAGGTAAATGAAGACCGCGTTTCCTTCAAGATTTAGGAGGAACTGGGCGTTTTCTCTCGAATTGTGTAAGGGGTCCGAACAAAGTTCGTGCTGAAATGCGGCCTTCCGTGAGCAAAACCACCGTGTGGTGTGTACGTCAGCGAAGCAATACATCTTCAGCGGATTGATGAAGAGCGTTCCAAGATTATTTGAGCGCTACAAGATCGCACGTCTCCATTTCTCCGTGGAAAAGGGCTCAACTTAATGAACGAAGGTGTGGCTGTTCAGACCCTTCGCGATCTTGGACTCTACCTCCTTGTTTCGTGCTACAGGTGATCTGAGATCGACGTGAAAAAGTTTATTCTAGGTGGATCTGATAGAAAAAAAGCGTACAGGAGGGTTCCGTGGAAATCGTAGATGGTTTTGATGTAAGGTAATTTTGGCGAAGAATCCCTTATGGATTGAGGCTCTTTTGAACGACTGAGCGGCTAGAGCTCGTGTTTGTTTCCTTTCAAGAGGATTCCATAGGGTATCGTGAAGTTCTTCTGAAGCGACTGTTACCATCTTTCCGACAACAGCTCCCTCGAACCTTGATTTTTACGCACGATAACGCGGCTGTCCATGCCGGTCCTTCCACGCCAGATGGAATTGTGGGAAAAAATATGGCAGTTACCTGGTGGCCAACATGTTAGCTGAATCAGATTCCAATAGAGAATCATAAGGCCTTTAATTGCTATAAAGTTCCACAGCAGAGAAAAGCAAAATGGAACAACCGAAGAGCTGAAAACGTCGATCATCAGCGCACAGACAAATTTCGATCCTACTGTAATAGC